CTACAACGTTCTTCATGATGTTTTCTATTATTGCGGGGTCACTGAGAGCCTTTTTGATAGCGCTCTCTAGTTGGTTGACCTTAGTGGGTGAAGGAGGATTGGGACGTTCTTTATTGACATATGGAGTTTTATTCTTGTTTTGAGTGGGTTGGGGAATTTCAGAAGGGTTTGGACCTGTAGGGTTGGATTTTTCTTTTTCTGTATTGGGGTTTGGTTTCTTATTAATTTGGGTTTGGGGCACTCTATTTATTTTTCTGTATAGTGGGCAACCACGCCAACTTGCTGTATGCTGACCCTGGCAGTTTGCACATTTAGGTGGAACTTCTTTTTCTTTGGCGCATTCGGATGTGAAATGATTTTCTCCACATTTTACACATTTGGGAGTTTCCCTGCATTCAAACTGAGAGTGCCCAAAGTTTTGGCACCTATGGCATTGTCCGGGGCCTTTGGGAGCCCTGTAAGCCTCGACGTTGCACTTCATGTCGCAGAGATCTGTGATATTGTAAATTTCTTTATTCCTTGCAATCTTGGGAAGGGTTACCTGGATTAGTGGGAGCTCCTCCTTTGTTCTTGAATTTCGTAGTCTTGCAAGTTTAGACATCTCGAATCCCTTGTTTTCCAGATCTTCTTGTATTTCGGGGATAGTGATGCAGCGGTCGAGACCTCTGACGACGACTCTAAGGCACTTTTCGTCGTCTAGGATCTTGAAGTGGAAGGTGTAGTGGCGATCTTCCAACCACTTGGTAGCTATCCGGTAGTCCGATGTTGTGTGAGTCTGAACGTTGATGTATCGGCCTGATGTGTAAAATTCTGGCTTTTGTTTTGTACAATTGACAAGACCATCTCTAAGGCCTGACCATTCCTTTACTCCGCTTATTTTAATTGGTGGTATTCTGATCTTGGGGTTAGGGGTGGGATTGTTAGGTTTGTTATTCAATGTTTCGTTAGGTTTCTTTGATGGGTTAGAGTTTTTATGGGTTTGTTCGTGATTTGGGATTTTGTTTGGTGTCACTTCTATTTCCATTTCGACTGTTTTTGCTTCATTTGGTTTTTCAGGCTGTTTAGATTGTAATTTTGGTTCAGGATTACCTTGTGACCTTTGGTTGGGGCACCAGGTTGTTTTTTGCGTTGTTGTTTCTTTTGCGGCTACTGGTGATTTTTCTCTTGGGCGCTTCGCGGGGGCTTTTGTAGTATTGTGTTCTAGGTAGTTGGAGCGCAGTTCGCACAGTTCCCTTTCGTAAAAGTCAATAAAATTTATTAGCTCGGCAAAAGTGGTTTCGACCGCGCTGGAGTATTTTTTCAAGGCTTGAGAATCTTCTTCATTTTTCAATTCTGGGCATTCTGGAAGTTTCCAAATTGAATATTTACGGGTACCTACTGGGTATTTGGGGTTGGTAAAATTATTTTTGGGGGCTTCTGGTGCAGGGAGGTCTTCCATGGTTCGGGTTGCTTTCTCATTAGGTTTAACTGTATAATAGTTTTGAATATTTTCAACC